AAAGGAGACAGGGGATTCACTTTCAATGCTTTGCCTCTGGGAAGGGATGCTTGGCCATTGTTCATATCTATGATTTGGTCAATTCATGTTGATCTCTTCGTTGCAGGTGACTACACCTATTTGGTGGAGTTCCTGTCAAGCTCATCCTGTGTACAACTGCATCTGCAAAATATTGTGCTGCATTTAACATTTAGCAAGTTGACATTTTAGTAAGACCTGCCCAGACCTTGAGACCATTACCAGACCACTGATCCCTGGGATACCTACCCTGATCCCTGTAACTCCATCAACTAGCCTAATAGGTATTTAATCCATAGCAACAGAGAAAGTGAAATCACTGGCTGAGTGGCCCATGGTTCCCAGCTTGCTTTTGTTTCACTCCAGCTATTTTTCACTTGTATTTGCCCTACCTTACTTCTCCACCTGTTCAGTCTTCAAGATAAAGGAACACCTCCTTGTAACTCATACCGCCTTGTTAATTCCCTTCCCTGGCAGAAATATTGCCCATCTCTGTACTCAGTGTGCATGTTTTGTTATAGTTTTCCTATCTACTGTAATTGCTATGTGTCTGTTTTACTCAGTCCAATGTTAACATCTTGAAGCACTTTCTTTGCTTGGACATCCAGCCTGCTTCATGGTCCCTGGTAGGCACTCAAAACAAATTTGTTTTGTTAAATGAGTAAGTGAAAGAACAAACAAATAATGAAGGCTTTTTGTGCCAGAAAAAAAAAGCAAATAAAGGCATTCAGATAAATTGCAGTCATTAAAACCTGAGCCAAGTATCTGCTCGGGAGAACCAGGCTTAGGGGCTTCTATGTCTCACTGAAGTCCATCAGCAGACTGTGTGAAGCGTCCTGTGCTAAAAGTTAAGATGGAATGCTATGGCAAGAATGCTAAGTGATTCCTTGCCCATAAACAACTGTTTCTTGGAGAGAGGAAAGCATGAAAGATGTAAGGAAGAGAAGCACATGAGGAGCCTGAGTTTATGATCCTTACAAGGTGCTTTAGAATTTGCTAAGTTCCTTCACAGACACTAGCTCATGTGGTCCTTACATCACAATCCTGTGATGGGTTAGGACCAGTATTTAGCATCTCATTTTACATCAGAAGAAAATGACCAAAAAAAAAATTTTTAATGGCTTGTCCATGGCTACACAGTCATTGTGAGACAAAATTTGACCAACTTGTCTCCGATCCAGAGCTTGTCACTAAATATAAAATATAAGTGAGACTTAATACATAAGTCACAAAAAATGCAAAATAAAAGATATCAGAGTCCCTTGCCTATAAAAACTATGATAGATTTGAGTGGAATTGTGGGTATAATCATCAAAATTTTCTTGACTGCCCATATCCTGTTTAATTCCTGGTTTAGGTGTTTGAATACAAAGTGTGAGGCAGGACCCCTACCCTCAAGGTACCTACACTCTTTTTGGAGTGAAAGATGCTTACATAAAAAGACAATACAGTTACGTAGTTGACCACATATAATGTGAGTAGAATAGGCAATAAAAATTCTGGGGTAAAGTGACCATCTCATAAAGGCTCTGTCAGGAAAGCTTCCTAGAGGAAGAGAGTCAACAGGCAGTTTGACTAGCATGGATGATTGCAATGCGAAGGCCAGGCAAGCGAAAGTGAAGGATTCTTATATCCAGAGGTGAGGTTGGAGAAGTAGGCAGATAGAAGGTAACAGAAGAGCTTGGGGCCTGGAAGAATGGGAAAGGCATTCTACAGAGGTAAGAAGAAGCACGTCCAGAGATACACAGACAGAGGTATTCCGGGGTAATAAAGACAAATGAGGGGGGAGAGAGAAAAACAACCAAAGGCCTTGACTGCTGGACAAGAGCTTATTTGGGATGTTGGGTTACAGTTTATGCTGCATTTTTTAAACAGACACACCTGTGAGCTGGAAGGAGGCTACCTCTACCAGACTTGTTTACATTTCAAGAGTAAATGTCACATTGTTGATGAGATGTGGTTCTTCCCATTAAGAAGCATTTATAAAGGTGGAGTTAAGCTTACATTTCTCTTTTTTCCTACCTTCTCTTTGGTGTCAGAGCTATCAGATCAATGCAGTGCAATCATGAAATGAGTGCTATCCTCTGACTTCACGTTCCAGCTCTCTTACCTACTACCTTTTGTCTGTACAATTTTTTTTTATTTATTTTTTTTTACCTCTCTGAGCCTCCAAATCCAGATCTGAAAATAGGAATGACACCTACTTCTCAGGATTGTGCAAAGGATAAAATAAGATTGTGTGAAAAAGCTTTTAAAATGTAGGAATACTGTTTCTCAAGATTATTTTGTTTTCCATGGTTATATTATAGCTGATTGAACTGAAGTACATACTGGAGTCTGAGATAGTAAAGAAAAATCAGGAAGTTATACATGCTGTAACCCAAATGCTACAATGGTCTAAGAGTGGATGGTAGAGAAATACAAGTGTGACTATGTGCAGAGGGCAGCAGGAGCTTATGGAATGGGGCAAAAGAGGAGTTTGTTCAAGAGAGAGCTTTATGAGGACAAGACCAAAATATGAAGTTCTGAGATGGAAAAGGAATACTTGAAAGAACCAAGGAAGATCAGGACATTATTTGTAGTATATTCAATCAATCATATTTTGGGAGCATCTGCTTGTGTCACACACTGTTCCAGAAGTCCATTTAATGCTGACATGTGGGTCAAGATGCCTGTCCTGACCAAGCTCCTTTTTATAGACTCCTTTCTGCCCACAGCCACCATGACTTCACCATCATCTCCTCCCCACCTTCCTGAGACCTGATTGGAACAAAGGTGACATCAGACCCAAGATGGGCTAATCATATCCCCTTCCCAGATAATTGAAACAAGACTTCATGAAATGGAGGCAGATGGGAACCATACAGAAGAGAAGCAGACGTATGGAAAAAATGCTACCACCATAGCTGTGGCAGGTGTATGGTAGACCCTAGACTAAAGAGCATGAACTTCTGTCACTCAAAGCCATGGATCCATCTAGTCCCTGCACTTTGTGAAGCCTGACCTTTCAGCTTTTCCTTGGGTCCTGTGATACCTGAACCTTAAAACATCTTTTGACTTGAGCTGGTTTGCATCATGTAGGGACTGAATAGCGTCCCTCAGAATTTCATGTTCACCCAGAACCTTAGAATGTGACCTTACTTGGCCGAAACCGGTTTGGCTCAGTGGTAGAGCCAACTGCGGACTGAGGGAGGGCTTCCCAGAGAAAGCTGTCAGGGAGTGAGGAAGATCAGGGAAAAGGAAGAGGCGGTGCCAGGCTGTGCTTTGGAAGCAGTGCCTGCCCCAGCCTGATTCACAGGGAGCTCCGGAGTGTAATCCGAGGGGGTGAGGGAGCTGAGCTTTCCCACTTCTGCTGCAGTGATGGTGGCAGGGAAGGAGAGAAGGAAACACAAAAGCGCTTCTGGCTTTTGGTGACTCAAAGCAACTCCCTAGCCTAAGGCAATCCTCAGAATGAAGAGTGTGGGTAGTTAAGAGCAAAACACATAGAAGCCAGCAGCGTGCGCATACAGACATGATTCAAGGATCCAAGGGGGTCTGGGCGGAGCTGGTGGCATCTCATCTGTCTGCCATCCTTTGATCTTGTCGGCATAAATTCTTTTTTATTGCTGCATGATATAGATGTAACCGTTTATTTAGCCATGCACTTGTACGAAGCTAAAAACAAAGCTACCATGGACAGTCCTGTACACGTGTTTCTGTGAACACAGGTTTCCACTTCTCTTTGGTCAATGCCCAGGAATACAATTACTCAGTTGAATATTGGCTGCATGTTTAGTTTTGTAATAAACTACCCAATTGCTCTCCAAAGTGACTGTGTTAGTTTACATTCTCACCAGGAATGTATTTGTGACCCACATCCTTCTCATCCTAGCAGCATTTAGTGTCGTTGCTATTTTTCATTTTTACCCATTCTGATAGGTATGTGGCAATATCTTCTTGTGATTTTAATTTGCATTACCCTGCTAGCTAATGGTGTTGAACCTATTTTCATGTGCTTATTTGCCATCTCTATATCATCAGAGATGTGTCTGTGTTCTTTTGCCCACTTTCTTATTAGACTTTTTACTGTTTAGCTTTAAAGAGGTTTTCTAAAATATATATTCTAGATATTAGTTCTTTTTCAGATATGTGGTTGTCAAATATTTTCTTCCAGTCTATTGTTTATCTTTCATCTTCTTAGCATTCTTTCACAGAGAAAAATCTATATTTTTTAAATATAAGCAGGCTGATTTTTAAAAAAATATTTTTATTGATTTCAGAGAGGAAGGGACAGGGAGAGAGAGATAGAAACATCAGTGACGAGAGAGAATCATTGATCGGCTGCTTCCTGCATGTTCCCCACAACGGGGATCAAGCCCACAACCCAGGCATGTGCCCTGACCTCGGGTTCATAGATGCTCAACCACTGAGCCACAGCAATCAGGCCAAAAATTTGTCTTTTCTCTGAAGTGTAATATACTAGGGTTGTTTTATCCTTTTTTTTTTACCAGTGTGTTGTTTAATGGATCATGTCAAGTCTAAGAACTCTTTGCCTAGCCTTATATCCTGAAGATTGGCCCTTATTTTTTCTTTTGTAAAAGTTTCATTGTTTTAAATACATGCTCATAATGCACTTGAGTTCATGTTTATGTAAATTGTGAGGTTCATTCTTTTGCCTCCAATTGTTTGATTGCACCAGCACCATTTGTGGAATAATGACCCTAGCACCCCACTTCAGAGCCACCAAGACTGGTTGAGGCCCTCCTCGGTAGCCATAGCTCCTAAAAAGCAGCCTTCACACAGCTCTCTCACCTTCTGCTACTGTCCCTGCCCCCCTCCCCTGTGGTTTCCCACCCTCTGCCCACACCTTTGTAAAACACAATCCCTTTATTAAAATCTCAAATTACCCACATTAGGCGAGCCATCTGTTTCCTCTCGCGACTCTGACATAACCCACAGATGACAAATTTTCCAAATCCCAAACATCAGGCATATACTGTCAATAGTCACAAAGTAATAATCATTTATTTTTCTGAAAAGTCATTTACAGGTATTTATAGTCAAATGGATTTCCACTTTCAGACAGATGAATATGAGAGTGTGTCAGTAAAAGAGCATGCAATCAAACATTTCCTTTGTTGTTTCTTTCTATTTTCACTGTGTCTGCGGTATTTGTAAGTATGGTATTTGCTCATCCAACTAAGATACCATCACAGTCATGTACGCTCACATCATGTATGCTCTCTGCATTTTTTTGGACCAAGAACTCTTTCTTGCTACCCAAGGAACACTACTCTGCAGGCTGAGACAGCCCTTCTCTGTCTCTGATAAAGGTGATTAGATCACCCATAAGTCTCTAAGATTTATATCCTCCTAAACCCCTTCCTTTATGAGGACAGATAATCAAGATCTAAGATGTAATGCAAAATTGATGAAAAATACATTCTTTCCTAGTTGTATAGAAGGAAACAAACCTGTCTAAGAAGTTAATAGATGAAATCAAGTAAAATCATAAAACTTTTCATAAAAATATTAGTTCGGTATGCTTGATTTCTGATTATTTCTATCCAAAAGAAGTTTCCCACGTTTTATTTAAAACTTAGCAAATATATCACAATTACAAATACTAAGTTGGATCTACATAGCCAAAATGAAGGTGGAGTTAAGACTATTATCCAGATAACTGAAGGTGAAAAAACACTTTATAGTAATGGCCATATATCTACATGCAAAGGAAAGTAAAGAACTGAAGCAGTTTTCTTGCTACTTAAAACAACCAGATCCATTTCTACCATATTTACTTATGTTATTCCAGTTTCAATGTTTTTTACTGAAAGGCTTGGGGTGTCCTCTATCTGAATGTTGATCTCAGTTGTGCCATTCATTCTGAGTATAGACACAGACTAAAAGAAAATACTGAAGTTTTCACCTTAACTATACAGACCGGTGATCAACATTGACCGCCATTAAATGGGAATCTTGCTTTTTATAGACTTATGGGAGGGCTGAAACGGACACTAACCCAACTCTCTCATGTTAGAAACATGGAAATGGGAATCCAGACAGGTTCAGCAATTTGCTCGTGGTCACCCTGATGACAGCCAGCCCAGTGCTTTCCTCTACATAGCGCTTAATTATACCATCACTTTACCACTGCGTCTCTACATGGCAAACCTTTCTGACTGTTTCATTCACTATGTTTTCTCCCTTCTGCATTAGGCCTGATCTTATCTAGGAAAGGTGAGGGAACATCATGCAGTCACAGCCAATCAGGAGGAGATCTCCCCATCCCTTCAAATAAATTCTGCATTTTAAATAATAATAGAACCAATGTGGATGTTAATTAGGAAGAACACTGGTCTGTTTGATGTCTTTTAAATCCATGTACTCATGAGCTTTTCTTTTGGTGGGCAGAGGGATGGAGGGAGAAATATGATGAAATCAGAAATGACTACTAGATTCGGCCGCTTCAGCTTGTCACATGCCGCATACAGACAGTCCAAATAGCAAAAATCAAGAAAGACTAGGCCACACAATTTGGGCCCCAATTCTTTAACCAGCAAATGGGACCAGTCAGTGCAAGAGACCAGTGCTTTCAGTGGCTTTTGATTTGATTCCACTGCCATAGACACAGTCCAGATTCAATGTCAAATTTATTTTAACATTGCAGTGAAAGTGCTAGTAAACAGAAAAATGAAAGTCAATATCCATCAAGCAAATTGCTCCTTATTTCTGTAACAAGGAAAGGTTTTTTGTTTTTTTGGCAAATGGTTCTGTAGTTATCGAATACAAAGACACTTAGAACTCATCTCCCCAATATGAAAATGTCCCCTAATGATCAAGTTGAAAGGCACATACCACTGCCCCAGCAGTTCATTCAAGTTGTCTTTAGCATGTGAGATTTTAATTGTGCTTTTAGCTTGTTATCAATGCAATATGGCCTTAAAAAGTGACATCCGTGCATACGTATAACTTCTCAAATGGACCAATCCTTTCCCCTCTTGTGACTTCCACTTTCTGAAAATCAGTTTTTCGTTAGTCCATGACGGTCTCAAAAGATGCACTTCACAGTTTATGTTCTATGTATCTAGAAACCAAGTTTGAATCATCCTTGTGTTCTAACACAAAATGGAGTTTCTTGAATTACCAGTGTGATGGTATTTCCATATTATCATTTGTTTAAATGCAAAAGTTCTGGAATATTATCTCTTCTCACTGGTTGTTTAAGGCTTACTTCACTTCCAGAAGAGATGATTGGCAAACTATTATCCATGTGGTATCTGATAAGATGGCCAACATTATCAAATATGTGATCCTTGGTCCTTACCTTGAAAAGGAGGAACAAAAGTATGTTAAATGATAATAGTTCTCCTGACAGATGCAAACAACTTGGGGGGGGAGGGGGGAAGTGGAGGAGGAGAGAGGCACGACACATAACCCTGAAGGAGGCATTTTGCTTAATGAAAAAAAAGAAAAGATACTTTTTAACTCTATATCCTTCAGTAAAAATACTTTTTTAAACAACTGTCCCTCCCAGTTTGGAAAATGGTAAGCACTTGTCATCGAATTCTCCCTTCAGTTGTATCAATGTTTGTATCATATATTTGTGTTCTATAGTTATAGAATAATTGTTATTTTATATTAATAATTATTATATCTTTCTAGTGAATTGATCCTTTTATCATTATACTAGAGGCCCGGTGCACAAATTCATGCATGGGTGGGGTCCCTCAGCCTGGTCAGCCATCGAGGCTGTCTTGCCCAGTTCTGTCCTGATCGGGATGATTGGGGTCTGCTAGCCGTGGGAGGGACAATGAGAGGTTGGCCATGGGAGTGCACTGACCACTAGGAGCAGCTCCTGCATTGAGCTACTGGCCAGTCGTCCTGTCATAATGGTTGCTTAGGCTTTTGTATATACAGACAATAGGATTCTTTGTCTCTTTTGACAGTTTTTCATTTTAGTTCAGGATCTTGTCTGTTTACAGGCAGCCTCTGCTCCAGCCATACATCCTTTATTGGCTTAACACCATTCTGCTGCTCTGCTCCTGTGGTTCCTTTCCTACACTACAAATGCCCTCCCCTTTAACAATTTTGCCCTCTTTCAAGCTTCATCTTAAATGCCAGACCCTGCAGGAAGCCTTTCCGAGTGCCTTCTCCAGAGCATTCCTCCATCCTGAGGAACACCTAATACTTTAGCTGAACCATTCTTATGCCATTCATCCTTATAATCATTTAAGCATCTATTTTTATGAAATCATAAGTATCCTGACAGCAAGAACTAAGTATGTGATACTGAGCAATAGTCAACTGGGCATAATCAACCTTGAACCATGGAGGTATTCATTTAATTCACTGAATTGAATTGAGAGGGGAAGAGATTATCCTGTTTCATCCTATAAGGTGCCTTCTATCAAATCTTTCCACTAACCTCTATTTAGGACTTGCTGCTCCAGTTGGAGGGTTCAAGTATATATAAACCCTTAGCCTTGAATACTCTTCAACAATATCAACAGGTTTGGGACCTGTCATTCAGAGTAAACTTAATTACAACATCCTGTAGGGACTACAGAGAGAAGGCAGTCATACCTTGCCTTCGGGATCCACCAGAAGAAGATGCTTTGCCTGGCCTCCCTGGAGGCCACTCAGCACATACTGGCCCGGAGAGGTGGCACTCTCTCGAACCAGAAAGTCCCCATCCTTTACTAAGAGGTTCTCTGCCGCCTTCCTGCTCAGCTTGCCATGGTAGCAGTCTTCACTCCTCAGCTGCTGCTGGATGTGCGGCAAAGACTGGGAGCCGGCCGGCTGCGCCGTGGCACTGGGCTGAACAGTTTCGGGTGCTTCTGAAGTCAAAACACAAAAGGGGACATCACCAAGTTAACTCCTCATCCATCCAATCATTTGATCGTGCATTCATTCAGCAAATATAACTTGAGCCCCTACTACGTGCCAGATGCTATTTGAACAATGCTGTTCCTGGAACACATGAGGGTTTTGTTTGGGGAACTTCCAACAGGCTCTAATTGAATGGTTAGAGCCTTTGGCTTCTGTTGCCAAGAGAGGTTCATCCAGGTGCAGGAGTTTTTCCTTCTGTTGAGAAATGGAACTGACCCTGAGCACTGCTTTTAGAACCGCCACAAAAGGCTTGTTATGTCCCAGGGGCTGTCTGTCAAAGAGAAAGAGGCTTACGCTGTATCTGGATTACAGACGACGTCTAAGATTTTCCCAAACTCTTTGAAAATGCCTACGGTTACTTTGGTGATGCCATTTATTTATTTTTATTTTTTTATTTATTTATTTATTTATTTATTTATTTATTTATTTATTTTTAGCATTTAGCTTTAAGAAAACACACAACAAATTATCAATGTGCTTCAGAGATGCTTCTAACTAAATACTTTAAAGCTGTGCTGAACCTCAGAGTATTCCTATCAAATGACTACTCTGTTTGTGTCATTCACTGGCCTGGACAAAACAGAGTCATTCGGGTAAAAGGAGGCATAACATCAGAGAGGCATGTCCTGAGACAGCGCCCCAAGGCTCTGCAGAGTAAGACCTGTGTAGAGTCAAGAGCACTATGATGACAAGGCACATCCAGGCAGCACTTGATAATAACTTTGATACTTTTAGTGATAATAATGACTGTGTAGTTCCACTTACTGAGTATGGCAGGCACTACTCAATGCTCTATATACTAGTGTACTATTTGGTTTCATTCTCAAAATTAGATAGACATGGATCTTTACAAAGGTTAGATGACTTTGGCAAAGTCACACTGCTACTATGGTGTAGGTCTGAGATTTAAAACAAGGTCTGACTCCAAAGCCCAGACTACTCATCACCACACTCTAAGGAGACTGACTTCCTTGCCTTGGATGGGAAAACCTTTCCATTTCACAAGGTCTAGCCACTCCATTCCTGTAGTGCCCACAAAGATCCTTAGATGATAACAAGGCTGTCAGGATGATACACAGCATCTCCAGAAGGAGTAACATAAAATTCTCAGGTCTGAATCCAGGTAAAAGTCATACGATTACTTATGGCAAATTTGCCTGGAAAATAACCATAGAAACCGAGCTTTGTCTTTGTAAATGCAAAGGACATTTTGCATAGAAACCAGCTTTCATCTTTATACATGCAAAGGGGGTGTTTACATGTCCTTATGCAAGGGTCCCACATGAACAGTCCTCTGGCTTCGGAGGTTCACAACTTACACAAGACAATCCTGTGAAGTCACTGATATGGGCAGTCAGTGCCCTGTAGACACAATCCAGTTCTCCTGTAAATATGTTAGAGTTTTGTCCCTGCTTAAGAACTTCTCTACATAACACAATTATAATGCAGCACTATTTAAAAAATATCTCTAGTCTATATCTAGTGTCTATTAATATTCTCCTCTAATGTTGCTGGAAAAGCCTGAAATAATGTGTCTAGATTTGATAATACTTGTAGTTGGTCTTAGTGCTGCCAACTTTGAGGCAAAACAGGGAACCTCTGATGAGTAGCTGTGTTGTATGTTTATCTTTGTGACCGAGAAAGTGTCTGTGCAGGCGTGGGGGAGGAGTATGCATGTGTGGGCACACACATCTTGGTGCATGGTGGCTTTTGGTTTCTTCTGAGAGTATGGTAGAGAGCTTTCGGACAAGGACACAACAAAAGAAAAAGAGACATTATATCATCGGGAAAAGAGGCAGCAGATCATGGGCCAGCCAGAAGGTCTGGACAATATTTTCCCAACACAGTTCCTCACAAGATACACTGTGCTAGGAGATTTCAGTCATCCAAACATTTACTGAAAATCTAATTCTATGGAAAGAGAATATCTCACAACCTTTTTGTAAATTTTTGTTTTGATGTTAAAAGTTACCCATGCTAGGTCGTTCCAAGATGGCTGACAGGTAAACACCTAGCCGCAGCCGCACACAACAATTTCAATAAAACACAACTAAAATATAAAATGGACATTACCCAGAACTACAGGAAAGTTGACTGACTGGAAATTCTACAACGAGAAGCAAGGAGAAAACCAGAAGGAAGAGCGGAGGAGCTGTTAAAGCCTGAGGTATGGAGACACGCAGCGCGCATGGAGAGGACAGAGCCAAAGAGGAGGGAAGCTGAGTGCCTGGGTTCCCTAGCGGGAAGGAGATAAACGCTCCGACTGTGCTGGGCCCCAGTTCCGACTGCTCTGAACCCCATTTCTAGGCCAGACTCCGGGGATCCAGGCTCATCCATAAGGCGGAGCCCCGGAGGAGCAGCGAAAGGAGGTCCCGGAGGAGCGCACATTGTGCGCAGAGAAGGGATGGTTGGCTGTGCCGCGGAATTGCCCTGGCGGGAAGGAGACAGGGGCTCCAGACTGCTCTGAACGCCACCTCCAACTCCACTTCCAACTGAACTGAACCCCAGTTCCGGGCTCATTGGGGGAGAGACTAGACTGTTTGAAAGCAGGCGAAAATCGAGGGCACCTTTCTCTCAGAGGTGCTGGCAGCGAGTACTGAAGGACCCGCATAGGCGGGGCTGACGGAAGCCAAAGCTGCAGGCTCCACCCTGAAACCCTGCCCCATCCAAGCACAACACAGACACTTTTAAGACTACCAACTCAGGAAAGCTGCGAAAATGTCGAGACGAAATAGATCACAAAAAAAGAAATGGAGGACAAAAACCGACTAGATATTGAGTTCAAATCTACGCTTACAAGGTTTTTTCAAGAATTTCCTAGAAAAGATGGATAAGACCTATGAGGATATGAAAAGAGATCAACTAGAATTAATAAGGAATCAACAAGAAATGATAAGGGATCAACAAGAAATAAAGAATACATTGACTGAAATAAAAAATATTTTACAGAGTCCTAAAAACAGAATGGAAGATCGCAAGAATCAAATCAAAGAGTTGGAACATAAAGAGCCAGAAGACACTCCTCCACAGAAGCTAGAAGGCAAGAGAATCCAGAAAATTGAAGATAATGTAAGAAACCTCTGGGACAACTTCAAGCGAACCAACATCAGAATTATGGGGGTCCCAGAAGATGACAGAGAGCAAGATATCGAAAGCATACTGAAAGAAATAGTGACAGAAAACTTCCCCCACCTGGTGAAAGAATTAGACTTACATGTCCAGGAAGTGCACAGAACTCCAAACAAAAGGAATCCAAAGAAGACCACACCAAGACAAATCATAATTAAAATTCCAAGAGCAAAAGACAAAGAGAGAATATTAAAAGCAGCAAGAGCAAAGCAGGTAGTTACCTATAAAGGAGCACCTATACGATTGTCAGCTGATTTCTCAACAGAAACCATGCAGGCCGGACAGGAATGGTAAGAAATATTCAAGGTGATGAATAGTAAGAACCTACAGCCAAAGGTAATCTATCCAGCAAAGCTATCACTCAGAATCGAAGGTCAGATAAAGAGCTTCACTAATAAAGAAAAAAAGCTAAAGGAGTTCATCAACACCAAACCAGAATTATAGGAATTGCTGAAAGGGGTTCTTTCAGAAGAGAAAGTAAATAAAGATAAAAATTATGAACAACAAATATGTAACTATCAGCAAGTGAATCTAAAAACCAAGGAAATTTTTTTAAAAATCTGATGAACAATATTAACTGTTGAATATAATAGAATCAGAGGTATGGAAGGGGAGTGAACTGACAATTCTTGGGGAAAAGGGGAGAGGGTGATGTGGGAAGAGACTGAACATAAACTGTGAACCTATGGATGAGGACAATGGGGAGTGGGGAAAGGGCAGAGGGTGGGGTGGGAACCTGGTGGAGGAGAGCAATGGTGAGGGAGGAAGGAAAGGAACATTTGTAATAATATGAACAATAAAAATTTATTTAAAAAAAAAAAGTTACCCATGCTAATTCGTTTAAATCTTGAAAAAACAAAGAAGATGAATCACCTCTGGCTCTATCACCAAATATAACCACTCGTAACATGGTGGTGCATTATCTATTATCTTGATCCTTTTCCTTACCTAAACTTTGAGTAAGATAATCATATCAATATAGTTTTTTATATGTAATACCCACATGATATTTAATAAATTATTGACTTGATATATTTTCCCAGAAGTAGTGAAGGTTAAAGAAGCAACAAGGAAATCCACTCTAGATTTAACTGAGACCAAAAAAGAAAAAGGGGATAGGAATCCTGGAAGAAAGTCATCATGCCAATTTGGAGTTCCCATTAGTAACTGAGACATATTGTTCACAATCAAACCTTCTGGAAAACACAAGATAGATGTGAATATCCACTCCATATGCAACTGATGGGCAAACCTCTGAAAAGGGGAATAGAGCTTAAGAAAGAAAAGTCTAACATGCAAAGTCTAGAATCAGCAATTGCAAGTAAAGTCAATGAAACGAGGGATGATACAGTTAAAGAAACGAAACTACTGTGAACTGTGAAAAATAGGGCCTTATTTGCATTTTGAGGGGGAAATAGGTTCACTCTATAAGATGTCTAAAAGTTGCTAGTAAAATATGTTAACATAAAATGTTAAGCATAAATGAAGGGCTAAAATACTATCCAGAGAAAATTTATCTGTAATATAAAGGGAAATGCCCATATCTATTAAGATATATTACAAAGCCACAGTAATTAGTATATAGTAATTAATATACTGGTATAGAATGGACAAATAAGCTAGTAAAAAAAGTATTCACATATATAAAAGGCTCGGAAACAGACTCGCATATATAGAGGAATCTAGTATAATAGAAATTGGCATTAAAGAAAGAGGATATTATTTAGTCAACAGTGCTTTGAAAATTAAAGTTTACATAGATAACATTGTTAGACCTCCTACCTCATATAAAATATAAAGTTCAAGTTGAATAAATATTGTATTTTACAAGTAATAAAGCTGATAGAAGAAAATTTAATAGAAGCTGGACAGAGAAAATTTTAATCCAAAGCAAACAGAAAGAAGATATACTGAAGATAAAAATGGAAATCAATGAAATAGAAAATAAAAAGCAATAGAGAAAATGAAACCAAAATTTAGGTACTTTCAAAAGATCAGTTAAATTTAGTAAACCTCGATAAACACTGATCAAGAAAAGAAGAGAGAAGACAAAAAATACCAATAACAAGAGAGAAGGCATCCTTCAGGCAATAAGAGGATAAATAAAGTATTATTATGGAAAAAATTTCATGTAGAACTGACTCTAAGTGAATAGAGCAAAATCCTACTAAATTTTTCAGTAAATTACACAGCCAACGAAACCACAGTCTCTCCTGCTCTGGCTGTTTGGCCTCTTAAGCAACCCCCAATCTCTTGAGTTTCTGTTGTGTTAAAACACCCAGTTTGCAGTAGTTTGTTACAGCACCCGCAGGAGACTAATACGAACAGAAAGCAGTGACTTACTTTCTCGGCGCCACAGGCTCCCCAGCGGCTGGGCGGAGCTGTGGTTCCCGGCAGAGCCCAGGGCGCTGTGGAGAGCCTGCGTGTTGATGTAGCAGGGGTCGTCGAAGAGATCCACTCGGCAGGTGTTCTTCATTAACGAGGCGTCTCTTGGGGACGACACTGCTCTCTCGTGGGCATTACCTGTAGTGATTAGTTGTGATCAGGGTATCGCGTTCTACTTTGCAAACAATAAATGAAACCATATTTGAGTGTAGAATTGATAGGAAGTCAAAAGCCACCCTCATCCCCTCCTAGGATTGAATATCAACCTTTAGGTTTGACCTGAAGAATGAAGATAAGCTCTGGTCTTTGAGGAAAAGCCCCCTCTCATTGGTCTCCCTGCCCCACGGCTTCAAACAGACAGAAAAGGAGCAGGAAGATCCCAAAGAACAGCCAGGCAGGAAAAAGGCTGACTGTCCAGCAGACAGACAAACTGGCAGACAACACTGCTCAGAGCTGCAGTCCAGAACCAAGAAAACACACGTGCTACCACATGGAAGCTGAATGACAATTATTCAAACTCTTTTTCAAAAGACTCATTCCTTGGTTTAAAATAATTTAGAGCGGGAATGGGAAGCCTTTCTCCTCTCTATGCTCAGTTTTGTTCTGCCCAGCACAGCCTTGCATCAAGGACTGGTGTTTCTGCTGGGTTTTTTTATTAGAAAGAACACACCCTTCAGATCATCTCCTCCACCTCCCTGACTCCATCCTCTCCTCTCCATTCTATTCTGCACATTGTGGCCAAAATGACCTTTTTAGAATTGAAAATCTCATTATATTTCTCAGAGGTTCAAAATCCTTTAATTCCTTCCATTGTATCTATAATAATAAAAGAATAATATGCTAATTAGACTGGACATCATTCTGATTGTCCTTCCTGACCAATCCAGGGCTGGAGGGAAGCCAGCCCCAATCCTCAGTGCCTGAGTGGCCCAAGGGAAGCCAGCCCGGGTCCGGGTACTGGAGGGAAGCCAGCGCCGGCAGCCGGGGGAAGGAAGGCCTAGTCTTGCACGAAGAATTTTCAGATAAAACAAAGTTTTCAACAAGCCTGTGGCCCTGCTCCTGGCCACCCAGCTTCCCTCGTAACCCCTCTTGTCCCGAGTGGGCTCACGTTGGCCTTCTTGCAGTAGGATCCCCACCGCAAGGCCATCTTCTCTGATTGACATGCTCTTCTCTCCCCTCCCCCATCATCCTCATCCTTCAGGTGTCAGTTCAAACCTCACTTTCCCAAAAGACCTTCTCAGAGTAGGCTCAGTCTCTGCTTTCCTAGCAGTCTGTCCTTGGCCTTTGTTAAAAAAATTTTTTTTAAAATATATTTTATTGATTTTGTACAGAGAAGAAGGGAGAGAGATAGAGAGTTAGAAACATCGATGAGAGATAGACATCGATCAGCTGCCTCTTGCACACCCACTACTGGGGATATGCCCGCAACCAAGGTACATGCCCTTGACCAGAATCGAACCCAGGACCTTTCAGTCCCCAAGCCTCTATCCATTGAGCCAAACCGGTCTTGGCTGTCCTTGGCCTTTGGAGTCCCTATCACAAGAGTAATACATTTTGTTGCTTACGTTATTATTATTTTTTTATTATTATTATTTTATTTTATTTATTTATTTATTTATTTTTTTTACAGAGAGGAAGAGAGAGGGATAGAGAGTTAGAAACATCAATGAGAGAGAATCACCGATCAGCTGCCTCTTGCACACCCCTACTGGGGATGTGCCTGCAACCCAGGTACATGCCCTTGACCGGAATTGAACCTGGGACCTATCAGTCCGCAGGCCGACGCTCTATCCACTGAGCCAAACCGGTTTCGGCACGTTAATATTTTTTAATGTGTGAACTGTCTCTAGACTGCATGTTCCATGAGGACAGGGATCCCATCTGTCTTGTTCACAGCTGCTACTCCTGCTCCTAGCACATGCCTGGCACATAGAATGCCATCAAAAACATCACTGGATGAATGGATATTAGCACCACAGCTCACTACCAGAGGGCAGGTAGTTCAAGCACTTTGTACCATCCAGATGGTTCTGTCTTGAGAATGCCAGGATGGAATTTTCTTTTGCTTTGCTATTGAAACTAGTACATTTATAGTTTTGGCCACGGGTGCTACAAGATCACCAAGATGCACATGAAGTGGTGACAGTGGCATTCCATCGTCCCACCATAAAACAACATCAGTCCTTCTGTTGTTTCAGTCACTAAGCCCCTCCCATGTGTCCCAAAAAACACCAATTTCATATTGGACTTCACATCACAGTGAATAGTGCCATGATTGTTGTACTGCAAAGCATGGGAACCCGAGAGTGCACCGACTCGGGGAAGCCCAACCTGAAGTCAAAACTCTTAACACCTGCACACCTTGTCTATTAGGGTCACATGTCACCTTGTGCCGTGTCATATTCTATACATGGGCTACCCTGAGGGAGGAGTGGGATTTCTAGAGGGAAGCGTTGGCAAGGCACCTCATTTGTTTGCAGCACATGACAATTTGCATCTGCTTGGTTAAGTGGATTTATGAAGTGTGTTATCTCGTTTAAACTAAACTTACTTTCACAAATAGTTAAGTGGCTAAAAGATCACTGCAAAGAAATCAAGAATTAAAGACTCTTCTTAGTACAAGCTCCTCCTTAGCTGCATTAGAGCTTATAAGAGTAATATAATTAGGTGCAAAGTTTGATCTACCAAAAGTTAAAATTATTGAAATTTGAAATGTGGATTTATGTCAATTTTATTGACCAATAAAAGATTTAAATATATACTGGGCTTTGATATTATCTAATGATAGTATTCAGCCAATGTAATTAGCAAGACATTTTTAGGAAATGTTTATCATTAACTCTATCTTCGAAATTTTCTATTTTTGTGTTTTATTATACATGCATAATATATTAGTATGCATGTCGATAACATACATAATTAAATCACCACTTATTTAGGAGTGCCTACTCATAAAACTTTACTGAAAGTGGAATATGATCAAAAGTGTTTGCAAGCAGTGTGCTTCTGAATGAACAGGGACCTCACTTCAGACCCCTGTGTTATCTCTTACTATTTCTGTGGTGTGAGGCATGCCACTTAACCTCTCCAAGTATCAGTTTTCATATTTGTAAAATGAGGGTGCCTTGCTTAAAATATGGTTGTGATGATTAAATGAAAAAATGTGGCTGAGATTCTGACTACGGTAAGCATAAAGCCTGCCTCCTAGTAGGCATACAATAAGAGGTTCCTATCAATGCTCAGTGTGTATTTATTCATTGATTCTGGGTCTTTGCACACAGTGCTTAGTTCCTACTGTAATAGCCACCTGTCCCTTTGCTTTTTATAATATATTTTTATTTATTTCAGAGAGGAAGGTAGAGGGAGAGATAGAAAACCTCAATGATGAGAGAGAATCATTGACTGGATGCCTTCTCCACACCCCCATTAGGAATGGAGCCCATAACCCAGGCATGTGCGTTGACTGGGAATTAAACTGTGACTTCCTGATTCATAAGTAATGTTTAACCACTGAGCCACAGTGGCCGGGCCCCATCCCTTTCTTGACCTAATTTCCATTTATCTTGTAAGATTCTGCTCTGAATCCACCTCCTTTAGGAAGCCTTCCGGTAAGTTCCTCCCTTCCTCAGGCTGGACAAAGGAGGTGCCACTCTCTGATACACTGAAGGCATCTGCTTACTTGTCTGTTTTCCCCTTGAGACTAAAAATTCCTTGAATCCATTTATCTGTGTACCTGCTGCATCTTCAATGTCTGGTCGAATGCAGATGCTCAAAAGAAAAATGTCTGTCAGCTGAATGAGCAGATGACTCAGTGTCGACCCAGGTTGACCCCACCACGATCTAAAGATCCAGGGCCGGCCTTCAGCACAGGGCGATGCTCATCTGCCCCTCATGGAGTGCTGGCATGCGCTCACCACACCAAGTGTGCCATCCCACAGGCTGGCACAAAAGCGCCCATGTCCTCACCCAGTCTTTCCTGAAAACTACCATTCTTTTCTTTTTCTTTCAAATTTGCCATTATATTTAAGTCAGCAATGTTGTCTTAAATTAAAATATATATATATCATCCTTTACTCAGATTTAAAATCTTTCTAGGGAGAAGCTTACCCACACCTGCCAGCTGCTCTGCAGGCCCAAAGTCCTCTGTGCCAAGTACGACCGAGAACCATCCGACCAGCCCAAGAGGAGGTTTCTGGCAGAATGCACTAGTAAGTACACACACGATGTGTACATTGTAAGTACTAAGAGTTGTAAGTAGGGTATGTGGGAATTTAACATCTTTTTTATTAAAACTATCAACATTCCCATTTTAAATTTAAGGTTGGGGAAACATTATCTTATTTTGCTATTTCTTTCCATAAGGGAATTTATTATTAAAGATAGAGATATTTTATACATCTGTAAATAAATACAATTAACTCCTTTAACAACCAAAAGCCTGTTGTTCAAGCCTGTTGGGATTCAAGTTTTAAGTCAATATTTGAATAAATCAATGTCTTGGGAGGAAAAAAACCAACTCTTATTGAAAATATTTGTATAGGTGTCTCCCAAATGCTTATGTATGAATCTCTGGGGAAAAAACCATAAAAAATGTCTATTTGCTATTCTGGTAACTGCTATTAATTTGCTCACTGGTCAAGAATTTCGGATCACTTTTTAAACATATGCCTAATGCAGACTCAAGGTAGGAACACCTGATTCCTGTGTGTCCATGGATGAAAGGATACCAAGTTAGGGACGTCCTTCCTGCCACAATGGGAAGAACCACACCTGTCATGGCCCCTGCACAGGGCTGACTCTCTCTAGCCCCATGGTCTCAGGGAGCTGCCTAGTATTCTGGTTCCCACTGGAAGTAAGGAACCTGCTTTTTAAAAGAAAAAAATGTTGTAGCTCAGTGCTTGACCTACAGGTCAGTAAGGAGGCATTGAGTGAATTGTTGAAGAAATCCTATATAATAAAAGCCTAATATGCTAAATGTCCAGTCATCTGGACGGCTGTTCAACCAATCAAAGCGTAATCTACTAATGATATGCTAAGGCTGCTCAACCAGTCGCTATTGCATTCACTGACCACCAGAGGACAGACAGTTGACCGGTAGACCAGTGAATATGATGATCACTGACCACTAGGGAGCAGACACTCTGACCAATAGGTTAATTTGCTGCTGGGGTCCAGCTGATTGGGATTGAGCGAGATGGACTGGACATGCCTCGTAGCACTCCTGTGATCCCTCCCCAGCTGGTCAATTTCCCATGTCCCTGCCCAGCTCCTATTGTGCACTGGTGGGGGTCCCTCTTCCTGGCCTGGGCCCGCTTGCAATCTGGGACACCTCGGAAAACGTCAGAGAGCCAGATTTGGCCCAATGGCAAAATGATCATTCGCTACAATGTGCACTGACCACCAGGGGGCAGATACTCAACACAGGAGTTGCCTCCTGGTGATCAGTGTGCTCCCACAGGGGGAGCACCCCTCAGCCAAAAGCCAGGCTCATGGCTGGCAAGAGCCTCTCCCACCTCTGCAGCAGCACTAAGCCGTCAGTCAGACATCCCCCAAGAGTTCCTGGATGGCGAGAGGGCACAGACCAGGCTGAGCAACCCCTCCCCCACGTGCACGAATTTCAGGCACCGGGCCTCTAGTGAAGACTATACAATGAGATCAAGGCAGAGCATGGAGACAGTTCCATGGAGTGTCAGCACAGGTGGAAAATGGGTCCTTAGGTGAGGGGTTTCCAGAGAAAGGAAAAGGAGGGAGGGAGGGAGCAATTATAGCTCACAGGGAGCAAAGTTTTACTTATTTTTAAATCTCCACCCAAGGATATTTTTCCCCATTGATTTTTAGAGAGAATCGAAGGAATGGGGAGAGACATAGAGAGAGAAATATCTATGTGAGAGAGACACATCGATTGATTACCTCCCGCACACACCCCAACCAGAGTCAGGGATGGAGCCTGCAACCGAGACATGTCCTTGACCGGAATTGAACCTGAACCCTTCAGTCCACAGGCCGACGCTCTATCCACTGAGCCAAACTGGTTAGGGCAGGGAGCATAGTGTTAAAAAGACATTTACCATTCATCTAATTTGTTTTAGTTGGATCATTAAGAATTCGCTTAAAAATTTACATAACTTTAAAGAATAGCATGAATTTTTAATTTCTATCAAAAGAAGCCATGCTTTCGAAGAATTTTATTTACTGCATTACTAACTACTCCTCGTATTTTTTCAGGTTGGGGGAAGGTGGTAATCACAGCTATACCCAAAACAATAAATCCTCATACTGTCCCCACTGCATAAAAATAACAAAATTAATAGATTACATTGGCTTAATCCCATCAGAAATACCAAAGGATCCTAGGGAGTTGACTACCTTCTATAGGGCGAGTTCCTGCTAATTTCCTTAGCGTGCCTCACATGTGGTCACCCAGTTCTCCCCTCTCCTCAGTGTATTATTTTCACTGTCCAGTTACCTCCCCCTGCGAAGCTGCAAAAATTTCTTTCCTTAATGAACACATTAATGAATGCATGAAATGGCTACCTGGGGATCCAAGATGGCTGCTCGGGTAGACATCTAACCACAGCAGCACACAACAATTTCAATGGAATACAACTAAAATGTAGAGTGGACATTGCCCAGAGCTACAGGTAGTCGACTGACTGAAAATTCTACAAGAAGGAAAGAGAAAACCAGAAGGAAAATCAGAGCAGCTGAAAAAAAGCCTAAGGTACAGAAACATGCTGCGCGCCCGCATGCACACGCGCGCGGAGAGGTCGCAGCCGGAGAGGAGGAGAGGGCTGGGTGCTGCCTGGCGTTCCCTAGCAGGAAGGAAATAAAACCCCCAGCCTGGGCTGAACCCCCAAACCGGCAGCGCTGAGCCCCAGTTATGGGCCAGACCCTGGGGACCCAGGCTCCGGCAGGGGGAGACGGGGCTGTGAGGCGGAATCCCAGGGGAGCAGCGAAAAGCAGGGCCCCGGAGTCGCGCGCACATTGCATGCAGAGGACTGAATGTTGACTCTGATGCTGGATTACGCTAGCCGGAAAAAACAAAGCCTCTGGTGGCACTGAGCCTCAGTCCAGACTGCTCTGAACCCCAGCTCTAGGCCAATCCCTGGGGACCCAAGCTCAAGAGGGAGACGGGGCTGTGAGGTGGAGTCCTGGGAGAGCGGTGAAAGGCCGAGCCCCCGGAGTCCCGCACATTGCTTGCAAGGGAAGGAATGTTGACTCTGATGCGGGATTGCCCTGGAGGGAAGGAAACAGGAGCCCCAGCCGTGTTGGGCCCCAGCTTCAACTGCTCTGAACCCCAGTCCTAGGCCAGACTCTGGGGACCCAGGCTCAGGCAGGGGGAGACGGGGCTGTGAGGCAGAATCCCAGGGGAGCAGCGAAAAGCGGAGCCCCCAGAGTCGCGCACACTGCGCACAGAGGACAGTCTGTTGACTCTGATCCTAGACTCCCCTAGCGGGAAGGAGAAAAAAAAAGCTCCAGACTGGAGGAACGCGACACCGGCCAGCCGGGCACCAGCAAGGAGTCGGGCGACGGGGCCCCCGGGGGCGGGGGGGTGGTGCCCCTGAGCCCTCGACCACTGAGCAACGGAGCCAAGGCCGGGGGCTGCTTCCTGGGTGGCGCCGACCCCGGCAACAGGCTGAAGCAGCGCAGGAGCCCGCGGAGAACAAAGGGGTGCCACAGGCCAACCTGCTGAGCTCCCAGGACAAGGAGAAAGAAACCAAAGAAGTTCTCAATGTGAAGAAATCAAGTGAGAGCAAAAGATAGTAAAATTACTTAAGAATACAAAGAAGATCTTGAAAAAATCAAAGACTAAGTCAGAACTTAACTCACCAGCCAACATTACAACATAAATGCGTTGTGGTTTTTTTTGTTTTGTTTTTTTTTTAAAAAGGACAGAATGTTAGAACGGCGGTGGCCAGGCCTAGAGTGGCCAGGCACAAGGCAGTGGCAGCCAGGCCCGGAGCAGCAACAGCCAGGTCCCAGAGCAGCAGCAGCCACAACCAGAGCATCAACAGCCAGCACTGGAGCAGCCAGACCTGGGGTAGTGGAAGCCAGGCCTGAGGCGGAGGCAGCCAAGCCCAGGGTGGCCAGTCCAGGAACACCCAGACCCAGAGTGGCCGGGCCCGGAGAAGCCGGGCCCAGAGCAGCCAGGTTGGGAGCAGCCAGGTCCAGAACAGCAGTAGCCAAGCCCGAAGCATCCAGGCTGGGAGCGGCCAGACTCGGAGCGGCCGGGCCCGGGGCAGCCGGGCCCAGAGCAGCTGGGTCGGGTGCAGCCAGGCCCGGAGCAGCGGCTGGTAGGCTGGGAGCGGCCAGGCCCGAAGCAGCCGGGTCTGGTGCGGCCAGGCCCGGAGCAGCGTCTGCCAGGCTGGGAGCAGCCAGGCCCGGAGCAGCCGGGTCTGGTGCGGCCAGGCCCGGAGCAGCGTCTGCCAGGCTGGGAGCAGCCAGGCCCGGAGCAGCCGGGTCAGGTGCGGCCAGGCCTGGAGCAGCAGCTGCCAAGTCCAGAGCAACTAGGTCGGGAGCGGCAGTGACCAGACCCGGAACAGCTGGTTGTGGATCGAACCAGAGCAACAGAGGCCAGGCCTGGAGCAGCCAGGCCCGGAACAGCTTGCTCCTCGCCTGCCCCTGCCCCACGGCTGCCTCTCAGACATGGCTGGAAACTTTTGTGGGAACTTGAGGGTCTGCTGAATCAAGTGATGAAGGCTTAGATCTGGATGTGTTGAGTTAGTATAGTGCTGGGGTGTTGATCTGTGAGTGCCTTGGGTGGGGCCTGGATGAGGTTGGTTGACCTATTTGGAAATGTCTTTTGTGTGAAGTGTATCATTGGGCATGTGGAGGTATTATTGATATGAGAAAATGCTAAGTAACTGATTCACTATCTGAAAAGGGATTTACTATCGGGGAAAGGGAGGGAGGAAGAGACTGAACATAAACTGTGCACCTATGGATGAGGACAATGGGGGATGAGGAGGGGGCGGAGGGTGGGGTGGGAACCTGGTGGAGGGGGGAAGAAATGAGGAACCTTTGTAATAATATGAACAATAAAGATTGATTAAAAAAAAAAAAAAGAAAGAAATGGCTATCTGTCTGTATACCTTGTTTTTATGAAAATAGTTTCCAATTTGCGAGTGGCCGCCCTGCACCTGTGCCTCGGAAAAGCTGCACCGTGTCAACAACCACAAACCGTCATCAGACATTTAACGCCCCGGCAGGCCTGGGGCAGGTGGTCCCGGGATCGGGACTCCCGCTTCAGATTTCTCTTTGTTCCTTTTGCCAAGCAGGAATAAAGGTTCTCTCTAAGTCCGGGTGGATTTGACAAGCACTCGTTTTCGCATTAGCCCACTGCCTGATCTTCGGAGCGGGAGTCAGAGAAAGCACCTTTCCAGGGCGAGCCTTTGTGTCAGAGCCACGAGAGGCTCCGGGAGACAGGAGGACGGTGTGACGGAGGGGGAAACATGAGCCTCCAGAGGGACCCGCATGCGGCCCCAGGGGTCCCTCAGCATGCAGAGCCTGTAGCCGAGGCAGAATGTGTTCCGTATATGCACCTGCCTTTCTTTCTTTCTTTTTTTATTTTTTTAAATATATATTTTATTGATATTTTACAGAGAGGAGGAAGGGAGAGAGATAGAGAGCTAGAAACGTCAATGAGAGAGAAACATCAATCAGCTGCCTCTTGCACACCCCCTACAGGGGATGTGCCCGCAACCAATGTACATGCCCTTGACCGGAATCGAACCTGGGACCTTTCAGTCCGCAGACCCATGCTCTACCACTGAGCCAAACCGGTTTCTGCACCTTCCTTTCCCATCCAGTGTTACAGCAAGGTGCTCACATGACCAGGTGACATGAAAGGAGTAGGGAGGGTGGCCGATGGGGAAGGGCGACTGTACCTACCGATGGCCCTGCTTTGCTCCAAACAGTTCTCATAGACGTTGCTGCACTCGGAGTTCCCAGGCTGCAGGGACAAACACCTCGTGAGACATTTACAATCGTAGCATCCGTTCCTGAACTTCCCCCGCAATCACACTCGCAGCAGACAACTTCACTTTGGGATACAGGAAGTGCCTGGCAGATGCAAAAAGGAAACTGGGGCTTGGGGTGAGCAGTATGGACTCCTTTCCATGGTGCGTTGTTGGGAGCCGCAGAGATGGGGGTGAGGGTCATCACGGCTGCCGCCACCAGGCACACCCTGAGGGACACTCCTGCTGGGAGCTCACATTCCGGGACTCTGCCCAAGGCTCTGTGAGAAGGTGTGATTTCCAGGACACTTGTCTAAGCACTGGTCACTTGGCAAACCTCTGTCTAACCGTGAATGGCAGATGGCAGCCCTACTCTGCTGGGGCTTGTGCCAGGCACTCTCATCCTTCAGCATCCCGTGCTCCCTTCAGTAATGGGACGGGACCCAGGGAGGCCTTCAAGAAGGGGTGTCTGTGCTTTAGGAAGATAACCCAGCGGTTTCGTGCGGGAGCTTTTGGGGGCATGAAATTAGAGATAAAGAAGGGGCTTTCAGAATCATCTGGACAACTGAGGACTAGAACTTAGAAAGATGTGGCTAGGAGTGGAAAAGGTTGGCTGTATTCAAAAGACATAGAATCCTAGGTCTCTACAATGTGTGAGGAAAATGAAGGAAAAAAAAAACACCTGTAGATCATTGAAAGAGTGGCAATGCCATGATTTAAGGTGAATAAATCAGGAGAGGACTATGTATTGGAGTCCAGGAGAAAACATTCAGTTCAGTCTTGATATAAACAAGCAACTTTATGACTTGGCATCACAGCCGAGAGAGGCAACAACCGGAAGAAGTTGGAGGACCACATACACAGGTGTCAGGCCCCAGGGCCGTGCACTGGAGAGGGCCTTCCTGGTGGTGAGACAGGGGCTTGGCTTCCCAGGGGGAGGAGATGCAATACAAGACAGAAAAGAAAAGATGTAACGTACTTTGAAATGCATCAAACATAAGCTGGATGAATGGAGGATAGAACTGCATAAGGTGACTGAGCAAATATAGAAAAATGTTAATGGTTGAATCTAGATGGTGAATCTATGAGTGTTCACCATATAAGTCTACCACCTTGTCTGTATATTTGAAAATATTTAGAATAAAATTTGGAAAGCCTGACAAAAGAAAGAAAACAGCAACTAGAGACGTGGGATCAGCCTCACACCATGGAAATGTTTTAGAAGCTAACAGAGGAGGTCTAAGAAAACACAAGGCGGCCAACAGGTATCAAATGCTGGAGACAAATTCAGAATACTGAAGAAGGAAGGAGGTTTAGCAATTAACCATTGATGGCCAAAAAAAAAAAAAAAAGAAATTGGTGTCTACTGTAAAAGTACTTTCTCTCAAGTTGTCAAGTGGAATTCAGATCTTAAAAGTGTAGGTAAAGATAGTTGTGTGTTTTTTTCCACAAGTTTGTGGGTAAAAGATAGAGGAGAGGTAGGACATTATTAGTTGGGTTGAAGGGGTCCAAGTTTCTGTGCAGACAGAAGGGAAGGAACCTGTAGACAGAGAGAGAATGCAGGTGGTGACAGAGGCTGGTGACAGAACAAGGGCGCAGAGTTGGTAGGACGGGTGGGTGGAATCAGGAGCCCCGGGGAAAGACCAGCTGTGGAGACAGTAACTAAGGGAGAGAGGCAAGGAGAACATAGGAAGACTTGGAGATGGGGAAAGAAGTTGAGGATAAAGTGTTGGACTGCCCTGGGGTTCCCAGTGAAGTGAGATGTGAGATCAGCTGCAGAGGTTGAGGTGGGGAATTGGAGTAAAAATGATCTATGCCAGGCCCTGTCAATGATTCACACTCTGGCTCAGTACTGAGGAAGACGATACTTTCTCTAAATTAGCATTTGGAAACCCACAAATGGTTAGGGAGATTTGGGGGAAATAAGAGATCAACCGAAGGACTTGTATACATGCATATAAATACAAACAATAGACACAAAACTCTGGGGAGGGAGGGCATGTATTGGGGGTGGGGGGGGGGAAATGGTATATGTACAAAGATAATAATTTAATTAAAAAATTTAAAAATAAAAAAATAAACTCTCTAATGATAAGGACAGAGTCACTTTGCTAGTTCCAATCCTAATAAGACATTACTTACCAAATAGCACAACTTTTCACACCGTATGGGGCAGTAAGCCATCTGTTCCGTGGTTTGAACTCTGACCCGCACATCTGAAACACCACCCACGGGTGGCTGCTTTCCTGGTATTTCATTGTAATACTCATGATCGTCTCTCTCCTCAGCAGGGCCATCAATATGCACCTCCTCACTGTAAGGCAAAAAAGAATCCGCAAGAGGCTGGGCGGGAATTCAAATGCTGTAGGGGATGCAGAGGGGTCAGAATCACGCAAATCATCTTGAAAAACACTGCATTCATGTTTTAAGTCCACAGATGTGCTTAAGCCATGTCAAACATCTGGATGGAAGCAACCAGATGGCTGAGTTGTTTAGATTTCTGTGGACAATTAAAGTGGGATAAGCCAACCAAAGTGACAAGGGTGATGCTTCTGTGTCTCCTTCCCACACCCAGGAATTAAAAAAAATTATATATATATATACACTCCCTGAATGTGAGACATTTTTTGTCAATGGTTCATAAAAATACAAAGTTTTCCCAGGTACCTTTAGCATGCTTTGTACCATTTCACAAATGCTTTGCTCAAAGAAAATGTAGCTATTGGGCACAGGGTCTGGCCCAGTTTAGTAAACCAAGAGGAAAATAATTAAAAAGCTCTGGCCAGCTACCTTGTCTGCATAAGTCTGCAGGAGTATGTGGGATTCATAAATAAATATCAGAACCATATGTAGCAAGAGGGTAGATTGATGTAAACATGCATTGTTTTTTAAATTGAAACAGGGCAAGAAAACAAGTGTACTTTTCTTCCAAATTGGAATTAGTAAACGTTTCTTATGAAAAAGAGTAAATCAAGTCCTTTTGGGTTGAGCCAATTCCACTGACAACACACACAGTTTTGTTGGGCTCATTACATGTCAGCACAGTGACAGCACTAAGCCTATAAGAGCTGCCCTGGGAGAAATTCAACGTCGGCACCTCCTGGTAACCACCTCTCCTTTACTGCCCTCAACCACCTCATAAAAGGTGAGCTCCAAACCCAGTGTTTGTTCATACCCAAAACAACAAATTAGGGGAGAGATGCATTTAAAAGTGCCCAAGAGTTTTGCTTCTCAGATGTGAATTCTGTAAGCCAGGGGCCTCATCGCATTCCACCGGCCTGAACGCGTTCGGCTTTCATTGCAGCCTTTCTGTGCCTGAGACAGAACCACCAGATCCTTGGGTCACCATTTAGCTGGAGCTGACCTATTTGCACTGCAAACCAACAACCCAACAGGAATTCTTGCAGTAGACATTTGACTCTTACTATTTTGCTCTTCTTTCTCAAAGAATTTTGTTTTTACTGATATGCTAGGGCTTTGGGGGTTGAAATAAATCTGAGAAATCTATTGATGTTTATTATTTTATGATGCTCCTTAATTCATAGTGCTGTGTAACATCAGAGAAACATGGCTGATCCCTTCTCACTTTTAGTTTCTTCTTTCATTTTGTTACAAGCCAAGGAGCAATAGCTGGACAAACATGAATGGAAGAAAAATGGAAAAATGCCATATTCATTTTAAAATTAAACACAATATAGTAAGTAAATAATTACAGAACTGTTGGCTGACCTTTCACAGGAAGTACTCAAAGAAGGATTTTTCAAATATTGTTTAAACCGGAGCTCAAAAGCCTGCCCTATGGTAGTTATGACATCTTGGGCCATTCCACTGCGGCATTCCAAAATGTGGCAGGCTGCAAAAGGATATACAAAAAAATTATAACCAATTTTCGATAAGAGAAGATTATATGAAGTAAAAATACTTCCAGAACATGACCTCGTAATTGAATAAACAGAAGGAGGTAAAAGCTCTCTTCAGCTCTGAAGTGGTATAACAAGACCTCATATTTCTTTTGAAAATATATTTTATTGATTTTTTACAGAGAGGAAGGGAGAGAGTTAGAAACATCGATGAGAGAGAAACATCGATTAGCTGCCTACTGCGGACCTCCTACTGGGGATGTGCCCGCAACCAAGGTACATGCCCTTGACCGGAATAAAAACTGGGACCCTTCAGTCTGCAGGCTGACACTCTATCCACTGAGCCACACCAGTTTCGGGAAGATCTCAGATTTCATACACATCGAGGAGCAGAAACACGCATAGTCTATATCCAAATATCTCAAAACACAAATTCTCGTCTCGAGGCAGGTATTTTTGGGATAATCTTCGTAAAAGTAGTAGGACAATTTTGACGAATACTCAAGGTCGGTGTTAGCTCTGGAATTCAATACAGGAAATGCTTAGGACAGCAGTCTGCAGGGAAGATGAGGTTTTCAGCCTTGTCCTGGCATGGGATGCTACAGAAAGCTGACAAAAGGTACCTTTCCAAACCTCTCTACCCATCTCCCCCAGAAGAGATAAACACCTAGTGATAATAAGGCTTGAGAATATCCCTTCCTCTAGCCAACCCTTTGCCCTGTAGCTGCCAGTGATGGTCCGGAATCCCCATCATCGAACCCTATGAAAAAAACTACCTCCAATAAGCATCAGAATCAAGATTTTGCCGGGACCGGTTTGGCTCAGTGGATAGAGCGTCGGCCTGGGGACTGAAAGGTCCTGAGTTCGATTCCAGTCAAAGGCATGTACCTTGGTTGCGGGCGCATCCCCAGTACGGGGTGTGCAAAAGGCAGCTGATCGATGATTCTCTCTTATCGATGTTTCTAACTCTCTATCCCTCTCTCTTCCTCTCTGTGAAAAATCAATAAAATATATTAAAAAGAATCAAGATTTTGTGAAGATGGCATTATCAGAAGATATTACAAGTTTTAGTAGACACTCTCTGAGAAGCAGTTCCTGGGAAGCAAACTGGAGAAGACTAGTTGTGAAGGGGGCAGCTGCCAGAATGCCACCAACAAAGGAGCTCGTGTTCAGGGGCTGGAAATCACTCTCCCCTCCATCAGGAATGCCATCCTACCCGCTGAGAGGTTGGTGCCATGCTTAGGGCCTTGCAATAGGAAGATTTCATTGAATTGGAGGTTTCAGAAGAATGGCTTAGAAAGAGTCCTGAGGATGACTTCAAGATAGAGGCAATGTCTCGTGAGAAATTTTTTAAGATATATATTGGTTTGTATACAATTGGGGAAAAGCTTGATAATGGTTAAATAGGTACATGAATGTTATAAAAACTCAGCTGTTCTCTGAGAACAAAAAAGATTGGGTGCTTGAAGAATTACGATGCTTTTCCAGTATCTAACCTACCATGTTTCCCCGAAAATAAGACAGTATCTTATATTAATTTTTTCTCCCAAAGTTGCACTAGGTCTTATTTTCAGGGGCTGTCTTATTTTTCCATGCGCTAGGTCTTATTTTTGGAGGATGTCTTATTTTCGGGGAAACACGGTAGGTTAGATACTGGAAAAGCATCGTAGATCCTGGGAACCCTAAAACCAACACTAGGAGAATGAAAGAATGATTAAAGGGGACACAGGAGAGGAAAGGAGAGATGCCTGACTTTATGGAAGGGCTTAACTGCGTTGATGTGGAAGCTTTGCATTGTCTTGGCCAGAATGTTGAATTTACTTAAAGTAAGAGGCAACTCATTCACCTGTGATTGAACTTGTAGAGCCTATAATAGTAGGTTATGGTAAAACTTACACTGATGTTTCTTAGCCAAGCATTGAAAATCATGTCAAGAAATGTCAGGTGCTGCCCTAGCCTGTAGACTACAGGGTCCCAGGTTTAATTCCGGTCAAGGGCACATACCCAGGTTGCGGTCTTGATCCTCAATGGGAGTCATGGAGGAGGCAACCAATCAATGATTCTCTCTCATCATTGATGTTTCTCTCTCTCTCTCGCTCTCCCTTCCTCTCTGAAATCAATAAAAATATATTTTAAAAAAGAAATGTCAGATAATTGTAATTTTAGATTAGTTTGATGTTTGTTTAAAGGATTTATGTCTGACTACTTTTGGAAGGGATGGGGGGCAGGGTGCTATTACAAAATCAAACAATGCTCAGGTGTCAAAACCCCAAGAATTATTGATCATTCCTTATAAAGTTGTCCCTTTAAAGAAGCAACCTGGATCCTGAAGTAGACTAGGAGCTAATTACAGTGTTGAAAACACAATTTATATCCTTTCCAAACCAAAGGAAAATGTTTGATCTATCTTTAGACTGACATTTCATGGACCCTTTTTTTTCTCTAGTATCTTCACATAGCGACCAATGCATAAGTATTTCAAAAATATGTTTTGATGGAATAAATTCATATTTCCCCAAATCACATAAATAATTCTATTGTGAGGAATTATCTTCAATTTTATTAAAATAAGACCTTCAATGGCCCCAATAGTGGGCAGGTCCTTCCAGGATTCAATGGTGCAAGTGACTGCATGGTCTTTGAGTAAGGTGACCAGACGTCCCGATTTTTGATAATTTGTCCTGTGTCCCGTGTGATTTTTAAAAAAATCCTGATGTTTTGAAAGATTCTTTTAAATCTTTTGGACTTTTTAAAAATGCTGTGGGATGCAAGACAAATTGTTAAAAATCGGGACTGTCCCACCCAAAGTGGGACGTCTGGTCACTTTGTTGGCGGAATGCTCTCTTCCTTCCTGGTCAGGCCTCATAGCCTCAAACCTACAAAATACCCTAGCTGAGTAAAAAAAAAAAAAAAAGTGTGTTACATTGTGATTAAAGAAAAAAAAAAGGCAATTCACTTGAATTTTTTTGTTTTTCACCTCATAAATTCTTAGTCCAATTAAACATAAAGAAAAGATCAGAAATCATATGGAAATGGAGACAAAAAATTGTAATTTTATAAGCCAATCAATGAAAGAGAAACACCACATGACCTCACTCATTTGTGGATAATAAAGAACATTATAAACTGATGAACCAAAAGATAGATATAGAGACAGTATATCAACAAGCAGACTGTCAAATTACAGCGGGAAGGGGAGGAAGATCTGGGGGAGATAATAGATCAACCAAAGGACTTTTATACATGCATATAAGTACAACCAATGGACATAAAACTCTGGGGAGGGAGGGGATGTGTGTGGGAGGGAGAGAGGGGGGCAAAAAAAAAATCAATAAAATATATTAAATAAATAAATAAATAAATAAATAAAATGAGGGAAAAAATTGTAATTTTATTTTTTCTTAGAATCAAGGAGATATCTAAAGATAAACATGGGCTGAAACTGGTTTGGCTCAGTGGTAGAGCGTCGGTCTGTGGACTGAAGGGTCCTGGGTTCGATTCCGGTCAAGGGCATGTATGTTGGTTGCGGGCGCATCCCCAGTAGAGGGTGTGCAGGGGGCAGCTGGTAGATGTTTCTCTCTCATCGACGTTTCTAGCTGTCTATCTCTCTTCCTTTCTCTCTGTGAAAAATCAATAAAATATATTTTAAAAAAAATAAAGATAAACATGGTAAAGAAGGAATTCTCATCATTTGCAGCAACCTGGATGGAATTGGAGAACATCATGCTGAGTGAAATAAGCCAGTCAATCAATGAAAGAGAAACACCACATGACCTCACTCATTTTTGGGTAATAAAGAACATTATAAACTGATGAGCCAAAAGATAGATATAGAGACAGTAAAGCAACAAGCAGACTGTCAAATTACAGCAGGGAGGGTAGGGAGATCTGAGGAAGATAAGAGATCAACCGAAGGACTTGTATACATGCATTTAAGTACAACCAATGGACACAAAACTCTGGGGAGGGAGGACATGTATGGGGGAGGGGGGGCAATGGTATATGTACAGAGATAATAATTTAATTAAAAAAATAAATAAATAAAGATAAACATGGGGAAGATAATGAGAGAGGCAGAAAATTTAAATATAAATAAATGAATAAATGAAAGGGAGAAGGAAAGAAGGGAGGGAGGAAGGAAAAGGGAGGGAGGGAGGGAGGGAGGGAGGGAAGGGAGGGAGGGAGGGAGGGAGGAAAGGAGGGTGACTAAAGCGTGCCTCCCATGAGAGGAATGAGAACAAGGATGGTTAAAAGAACTCTATGAAAAGATTCAGATCCAAGTTCAGGTTCCAATTACACTACAACCTGTGTGACCCTAGATAAGCTGCTCTACAGCCAGGGCCTCACTGCCAAGGCAGGGCACTGGGTGATCTCTGAAGTCCCTGCTGCTGTACAGGAATTGCAGCCTTCCTGGGTCACAGTCCCTTACACCCTCCGGGGAGCAGGGCAAGGCACGTGGGGCACGCGGGAATGAACGCATCCACCGATCCCACCGCCGTCCTCCACCACTTCTCATAGACCGCTAATAGGTCTCATTTCTCTCAGCTTTTCTCGTTCTAATTCGTTGAGGGTTTGGTCTTGTTCCCAGGCTGAGGCTATAAACCTAGTGTCTGCTTTACTTTGCTAAGAAGATTAAACAGAAAGAAAGAAAACCAGCGGCGCGCGTCTCCATGGAAGAAACAGCATTGGACCAACAGACTGGCCTGGACAGAAGCTCGGTGCAGCCTCAGTGCTTCAGGGCACACACACACACACACACACACACACACACACACACACACGTCTTGGTGGCACTACTGCTGACAGGACGTGCTGCTCTGTGGACATGGCCTTGGCTCTTTTTTAAGCTGGTCATGGGCCAGACTAGGGATGGGCTTTAAATCACATACAAATATGCCCACTTTCAAGGGTGAGACAGGCCTCCAAAAGCTCAGATAAGTGGCCAGTTTGGCCAAGAATTGCCCAGTCTTCAGCTAACGGAAGGAAGAAAGAC